GGAGCCGCTTGCTATTTCTGGAGAAGTGTGAATACGATCTGTGAGATGGTTACATTATGTTTGGGAGCAGTATAATGGTGAGTGGATATTCCCCCTTTCTCTTTATATTTATATTGAACCTTTGTCCAGCTTCTGTGAAAAATGTGGATGTGCGTCAAATCCTCCATAGTCTGCTTTGCCTTAAAATCATATGACCACAGGGAACAATTATGGTGCCTGTAACTGTAATTAAACACAGCCTATTTAAAAAAAGTATTTGTTTTGTTTAGAATTTTATTTGAATTATTCACTATTTTTTGGCCTTATCAATACTGAATTAAATCTTGCTTATTGACAACGTTTGGCATGTCCATGGCTCAGGCATAATGCCATTTACAGTAGCCCTAGTCCTTATATAAGTGTGAATGCTATGTCTAACAGTATATTTCCATATTGAAGCCATGCAATTACTTTCAATTAGTGGACTTCAAACATGTTCAACATATTTAGCAAATATGGGATAGGCCTACATTTTGTTATTTTGTTTATTTCGGCTGTTTCACAAACTAGGCTATAATGGACTAACATTCAAATTGGAGTTGATGACAACGCAATACCTAAGACTGTAAATACACAACTTGAAGCAACCACTTATTTTGCCATGGACCATGTTCCGACTGGCCAGTGAGGAGTCAATCCTCAACAGGCCTTCAAATTATTTATTCATCAAAAACCAGCCTTTTTGTGACAACGCCAGCTCCTGCACACATAATTCCCGCTGTGAAATAGCAAAATATTTCTGACACACCCTGGACTATAGCGCTACCTCCAACGCTAAGAGGGTTTATTAAAATAGAACCCAGGAAGTAAAATGCATGTGTTATAAAAATACAATTTCAAAATGCTAATATATGGGCAAGTGCTCAGGTTTCTGCCAGTTGAAAAGGCAGCATCAGTACTGCAGTCAGTATGAATCAGACACACAGACCGATTCAGTGGTTTGGGTCCAGGTCAACCTAGGTAACACCCATTGAGGATCATATTCAACATGCCAAAGCAGTTCTGTGGTTGGACTCCATGGCTGGTTGCCAAGATAATTTGTGTTAGTTGTTGGACTAGCAAGTCGCAACTGCACTCCCAGACACTAGAGGGCTCTCCACTCCTCTCTCTGAGTTTCTTATTCCACTTCCCCAGCTATTCCAGTGCCACCCTTATCACTGGAAACTGCTTAAAGGGAGTGGGGCTTGATTCAACTCACTGAACAAACCTCTTTGGCCTGACACCAATATGTTGAAACGTGGCATGATATTCTTAACAGTTCAGAACATACTGTGGGACTTGAACATTACAGAGATGTTACAGAGCAACGCAGATCCCATGTCTAAATCTGGGTGGTGGCAAAATCTCTCAACCATGGGTATTTCTTCCTCCTGTGAAGAAACACTTCAATGTATTTTATGCTGCAAGAATGTGAGCTCAATCTCTCATTAGTTTGTGCTCTACCTCCCTCTCTCTCACTTTCTTTCACTTGTTTTCACTCTAATTTTCCTCCCCATTCTCCTCTCACTCTCTCTCTTGGTCCTTCTCTCTTTCCCTTGGTTTCACTCTCCTCTACTGCATCCGCTCTCCTAATCTCTCTCTCTCCCTATTCCTCCCTAGAGATTGCATAAAATAGAGCACTTTGGACTAAAACGATGTCAGTCAGTGACCCGATTTCATTCGGCTGTCATTTTCATCATAGGGTGATTCCCCCCACTGCCCATTAACCATCGGCGACATCTGAAGGCGAGAGGGTCAAGCATGTTTATTCCCATCATTCACCTATGACCACTTTACCCCAGAGAGAGATCCCAAAACCAGTTTGCATCTTCATTTCGGGGCCTGTTAGCTGCAGAACACGACAGACACAGAATGACACACATCTATGTATATTACTCTAATGAAGGTGGAACTGCATAAAATATATATTGTACACACACTAATGAAGAACAACCTGCTAGAAAAATGTACATACATACATCTACCCACCCACACTAACACTTATAGGCTTGTATCCGCTAATGAAGACACGCTTGCTATAAGGGGTCACATACAGACACACATACACACACACTTTGGCGCATGCTGTATACATTAACACCTATGAATAAACACCCATTCTACGGACACACACCATGATAAGCTGTCTTGAGGACACTGGGGTCATTAAGCCTGTGAACAGAGTGCACGCTGACTGGCGGTCTAATTAACGTTCGTTGTTCTTCCCCTGAAAGGGCTCGTTATTCTCCGCAGGCCGTCTCACACCGCACCGGCCTTAGCCAGCACTCTGTCTGCCTGACGCTCTTGGGCCTTGTTAAAGATGAACAGACTGTCTTTGTTTGGTCTCTCTGTCAGTCAGAGGCCACTCCATCTCCCTGACAGGAGAGTGGCATTTGTGGGAGGCCATGTGGGCATCATGTCTTACATGGATGATCTGACTCCATTTCATCATACTGTGACTGCTCTCCAGTTCCTGACTTGACTTATTCGTTTTAGCTCCTAGTGGAGCAAAGGGTCTCCACAGTGCATCTCCAGCGAACCCTGTTTTGGAAAGTTTTCTTGGCTTCATCCCAGTTGCTTCCTGCCTTCTCTTCTTCATTGGTCCTTCACCATGTGTTCCTCGGACACCCAACCTTTATTTTGCCCTGTGGGCTCCACAGAGGAAGGCCCTCAAAATTGTCAAAGACTCCAGCCACCCTAGTCATAGACTGTTCTCTCTGCTACCGCACGGCAAGCGGTACCGGAGTGCCAAGTCTAGGTCCAAAAGACTTCTCAACAGCTTCTACCCCCAAGCCATAAGACTCCTGAACAGCTAATCATGGCTACCCGGACTATTTGCACTGCCCCCCCACCCCATCCTTTTTACGCTGCTGCTACTCTGTTAAGTATTTATGCATAGTCACTTTAACTCTACCCACATGTACATATTACCTCAACTACCTCAACTAGCCGGTGCCCCCGCACATTGACTCTGCAACGGTACCCCCCTGTATATATAGCCTCCCTACTGTCACTTTATTTTACTTCTGCTCTTTTTTTCTCAACACTTTTTTTGTTGTTGTTTTATTCTTACTTTTTTTGTTTAAAATAAATGCACTGTTGGTTAAGGGCTGTAAGTAAGCATTTCACTGTAATGTCTGCACCTGTTGTATTCGGCGCATGTGGGCTCCACAGAGGAAGGCCCTCAAAATTGTCAAAGACTCCAGCCACCCTAGTCATAGACTGTTCTCTCTGCTACCGCACGGCAAGCGGTACCGGAGTGCCAAGTCTAGGTCCAAAAGACTTCTCAACAGCTTCTACCCCCAAGCCATAAGACTCCTGAACAGCTAATCATGGCTACCCGGACTATTTGCACTGCCCCCCCACCCCATCCTTTTTACGCTGCTGCTACTCTGTTAAGTATTTATGCATAGTCACTTTAACTCTACCCATATGTACATATTACCTCAACTACCTCAACTAGCCGGTGCCCCCTCACATTGACTCTGCAACGGTACCCCCCTGTATATATAGCCTCCCTACTGTCACTTTATTTTACTTCTGCTCTTTTTTTCTCAACACTTTTTTTGTTGTTGTTTTATTCTTACTTTTTTTGTTTAAAATAAATGCACTGTTGGTTAAGGGCTGTAAGTAAGCATTTCACTGTAATGTCTGCACCTGTTGTATTCGGCGCATGTGACCAATAAAATTTGATTTGATTTGATTTGATTTCCTGAAGAAAACAGCATTCCGTCTTAACTGTTAGCATGATTCACTGTGTTAATGAGGATATCTGGACATTCATATTGATGTTGTCTAAGAGGAGGTCTTTAGTCTGAATGTATTTACCAAGAGCAGGAGAGTCGCAGTGTGTGGTGCAATTATGAGACAAACAGACAGAGGGCCTCTGTCTTGTCACTGGGCCAGAGGCAGAGCAGAGCATCATAGGAGCTGGGAGTTGGCACTGGATCTGAGAAGGGACATTTGGCTGTAGACAGAGAGGGGATCCTGACCTGTTGTTGTTACACACTGATGACCTCATACACTATAAGGTCATAGCTGAGCTACACCAGCCTTACTACAGCTTTCAATTGGAGCAAATACACCAGCTCACTTTATGAAGCAGGATTTACTGTATCCCCAGCCATCCTCATTGTCCTTAAGAGAAGTGGTTATGATGTATACATGTATACGGAATAATAATGTGTTTTCTTCTAAGGAAATAGGTCTGGTAATGGCACTGCTCCAACCACGGCTGCCCACACAAGGGGTTACGAGTCGCCATTCATCAAGCTGATGTTCTGACCTTTATGTTCAGGTCCCCATACACCAGTCTCCTCATAATTTACTTTAATTATGTATTGGATTAACATAAAGGCTTTGTACTGATATTACTTATAATTATCTATTGTACACCAGGGATTTTTGCCCAAGTGTTATTGCAGTGGTATTAATTTGCGCAATACCGTGGAGGGGAATTGGTATGCCATCCAAACTGTCTCTGCCAATAATGCATGTTTGTGTGTGTCTGATTGCATGTGCTACAATATGTCTTTGTGTGTATGATTAGCGTAAAGGGGTACACAGGAAGGGTATTTCGTCATGGTTCTGTAAGTGTGCTTTAGTGTAATATTTGTGTGGTTCCTGTGTGCATCCGAGTGTGATGTGTATTCACGTTTGTCTGTATACAATATGTGATAGGCCTGCATGTGTACTGTACACGTATGCATATATTCACAATCTGTTCATAAGTAGCTTCAGTGTTTTCTCTCTCTCTCTCTCTCTCTCTCTCTCTCTCTCTCTCTCTCTCTCTCTCTCTCTCTCTCTCTCTCTCTCTCTCTCTCTCTCTCTCTCTCTCTCTCTCTCTCTCTCTCTCTCTCTCTCTCTCTCTCTCTGTATGTGTGTTAGATGTGCCTAAGTGCATCTCTATCTGAGGCTGTAGTAGGCACACAGTCACAGTGGAGCTCATCCTCTCTTCGTCTTCAAGACGCCCTTTTTGCAGTGAGGAGAGGAGCTGCAGCCAGTGGCCCCACCTCCTCCGGTTCCCATTGGCCGAGAGGAGCCACCTCCCTCCCCTGCCTCATTGGTATGCAGGCAGTGCAGTGTCAGTGAGGAGAGAGGAAAGAGAGAGCGGTCAGTGCTGTAGGGCAGAGGAGAGCAAGGTTGAGAGTCAGTGAATGAGAGCTGCTGAATCTGCTGTTTGCTTGTTTTGCTGGGCTGCCTCCTATCCACACTGCACTGGCAACACAGAATACCCTGCCAACACCACAGACGCTGCTGATTACCACGCTAGTTAGCCCCGGCGCTAACAGGAGCGCAAGGGGCCACCAGGAATCAAGCTAGCCGGGTTTATCCATCCTTTGAGCAGGGGACGTAGCCGTGTCGTGTAGTGAAGGGGGCTGACGCTACGATTTAGGCTCCTACCCCCCCCCCCCCCCCCCACCCCCCACCCCCCACCCCCCCCACCCACCACCACCAGCAGCAGCCCGCTCGCTCCTCCCTATGTCCTTGTCCTCGGCGGCTCCTCTCAACTCCCTGGCCAGTATATGGATAGAAGCTCCCTGTTTCAGCTCATACAAGAGCAGGTAAGCGAGCAAAGCAGCAGCGGTAGGTTTCTATGGTTACCGTCTCCTGCCAGCAGCCAGCCGCACTCTTTCTATCTCGGGATTTTAGGCAAGAGGCAGGGGTGAGAACTGCTGGTATGGGAGGTGGGTAAGAGGGGCATGTGGTATTCTGTTACTTTTTATTTAATTTTTTACTTTAGTTTATTAAGTAAATATTTTATTAACCAACAATGCAGTTCAAGAAAGAGTTAAGGGCTTGTAAGTAAGCATAACATTTGATTTGATTTAATGAAGGCACACTGGGGTTGAAGATGTAGTAGACTGACGCTACTGAGGGATTCTCAGGCTATGTGGGGTCATGGTAGAGTAGACCTTAGAAGGTGAGGTCTTCAAATCCAATTGTATTTGTCACATGCGCCGAACACAACAGGTGTAGACTTTACCGTGAAATGCTTACAAGGCCTTAACCAACAATGCAGTAAAAAAAAAAAAAAACAGAGTAAAGAAAATATTTACTAAATAAACTAAAGTAGTAATAAAGAAAGTAACACAAAATAACAATAACGAGGTACCAAGTAAATGTGCGGGGGTACAGGTTAGTTGAGGTAATTTGTACATGTAGGTAGGGGTAAAGTGACTATGCATAGATAATAAACAGCGAGTAGCAGCAGTGTAAAAACAAGGGGGGGGGGGGTCAATGCAAATAGTCCCAGTGGCCATTTGATTAAATGTTCAGCAGTCTTATGGCTTGGCGGTAGAAGCTGTTAAAGAGCCTTTTGGACCTAGACTTGGCGCTCCGGTACCGCTTGCCGTGCGGTAGCAGAGATGACAGTCTATGACTTGGGTGACACCGCCTAGTGTATAGGTCCTGGATGGCAGGAAGCTTGGCCCCAGTGATGTACTGGGCTGTATGCACTACCCTCTGTAGCGCCTTACTGTCGGATGCCAAGCAGTTGCCATACCAGGCGGTGATGCAACCGGTCAGGATGCTCTCGCTGGTGCAGCTGTATAGCTTTTTGAGGCTCTGGGGACCCATGCCAAGTCTTTTCAGTCTCCTGAGGGGGGAAAGGCGTTGTCGTGCCCTCTTCACAACTTTCTTGGTGTGTTTGGAACATGATAGTTTGTTGGTGATGTGGACACCAAGAAACTTGAAATTCTCGACCCGCTCCACTACAGCCCTGTCGATGTGAATGGGGGCGGGTTCGGCCCTCCTTTTCCTGTAGTCCACGATCATCTCCTTTGTCTTGCTCACGTTGACGGAGAGGTTGTTGTCCTGGCACCACACTGCCAGGTCTGACCTCCTCCCTATAGGCTGTCTCATCGTTGTCGGGGATCAGGCCTACCACCGTTGTGTCGTCAGCAAACGTAATGATGGTGTTGGAGTTGTGCTTGGCCACGCAGTTGTGGGTGAACAGGGAGTACAGGAGGGGACTAAGCACGCACCCCTGAGGGGCCCCTGTGTTCAGGATCAGCGTGGCAGATGTGTTGTTGCCTACCCTTACCACCTGGGGGCGGCCCATCACAAAGTCCAGGATCCAGTTGCAGAGGGAGGTGTTTAGTCCCAGGGTCCATAGCTTAGTGATGAGCTTTGTGGGCACTATGGTGTTGAACACTGAGCTGTAGTCAATGAACAGCATTCTCACATAGGTGTTTATTTTGTCCAGGTGGGAAAGGGCAGTGTGGCGTGCGATTGAGATTGTGTCATCTGTTGGGGCGGTATGCGAATTGGAGTGGGTCTAGGGTTTCCGGGATGATGGTGTTGATGTGAGCCATGATCTTTCAAAGCACTTCATGGTTACCGACGTGAGTGCTACGGGGCGGTAGTCATTTATGCAGGTTACCTTCACTTTCTTGGGCACAGGGACTATGGTGGTCTATTTGAAACATGTAGGTATTACAGACTCGGTCAGGGAGAGGTTGAAAATGTCAGTGAAGACACTTGCCAGTTGGTCCACGCATGCTCTGAGTACACGTCCTGGTAATCCATCTGGCACCGCGGCCTTGTTTAAAGGTTTTGCTCACATCGGCTACGGTGAGCTTGATCACACAGTCGTCCGGAACAGCTGGTGCTCTCATGCATGCTTCAGTGTTGCTTGCCTCGAAGCGAGCATAAATGGCATTTAGCCCGTCTGGTAGGCTCGTGTCACTGGGCAGCTCACGGCTGGGTTTCCCTTTGTAGGGTGTAATAGTTTGCATGCCTTGCCACATCCAACGAGCGTCAGAGCCGGTGTAGTAGGATTCAATCTTAGTCCTGTATTGACGTTTGCCTGTTTGATGGTTCGTCTGAAGGCATAGCGGGATTTCTTATAAGCGTCCGGATTAGTGTCCCGCTCCTTGAAAGCAGCAGCTTTAGCCTTTAGCTCGGTGCGGATGTTGCCTGTAATCCATGGCTTCTGGTTGGAATATGTACGTACGGTAACTGTGGGGGCGACGTCGTCGATGCATTTATTGATGAAGCCGGTGACTGAGAACATATTCCAGTCTGTGCTAGCAAAACAGTCCTGTAGCGTAGCATCCGCGTGGTACTTCCGGCTTTAGTTTTTGCTTGTAAGCAGGAATCAGGAGGATAGAATTATGGTCAGATTTTCCAAATGGTGGGCGAGGGAGAGCTTTGTACGCGTGTCTTTGTGTGGAGTAAAGGTGGTCTAGAGTTTTTTTGTCTCTGGTTGCACATGTGACATGCTGGTAGAAATGAGGTCAAACTGATTTAAGTTTTCCTGCAGTCCCCGGCCACTAGGAGCGCCGCTTCTGGATGAGCATTTTCTTGTTTGCTTATGGCCTTATACAGCTCGTTGAGTGCGGTTTTAGTGCCAGCGTCGGTTTGTGGTGGTAAATAGACGGCTACGAAAAATATAGATGAAAACTCTCTTGGTAGATAGTGTGGTCTACAGTTTATCATGAGGTGAGCAATACCTTAAGACTACCTTAATATTAGACATCTCGCACCAGCTGTTATTGACAAATAGACACACACCACCACCCCTCGTCTTACCGGACGTAGCTGTTCTGTCCTGCCGATGCACGGAAAATCCAGCCAACTATATATTATCCGTGTCGTCGTTCAGCCACGACTCTGTGAAATATAAGATATTACAGTTTTTAATGTCCCGTTGGTAGGATAGTCTCGAACAGAGCTCATCCAGTTAGTTCTCCAGTGATTGCACGTTGGCCAATAGAACGGATGGTAGAGGCGAGTTCCCCACTCGCCGACGAGTTCTCATAAGGCACCCTGATGTCCACCCCCTGTATTTCCTTCTATTCTTAATGCGAATGAAGGGGATTTGGGCCTTGTATGGGAGCAACATTATATCCTTCGCGTGACTCATTCAAGAAAAATCTTCATCCAGTTTGAGGTGAGTAATCGCTGTTCTGATGTCCAGAAGCTCTTTTCGTTCATAAGAGACGGTAGCATCAACATTATGTACAAAATTTGAAAAACGATCATGTGTTACAGTTTGTAGAGGTGGGAGTGGCATGTTTTCCTGGTTTACCTGTGCAGCAGTGATATAAATGAATGGTTAAACTCTGGATGAAATAATTTAGATTTGGTATGAATTAGTGGATTGTAGGGAGCAGTGGTCATGAGTTAATTTACCCGGAGATGGTTGGTCCTGACCTGATGATTTTACTGTAGTCAGTAGGCCACTCGTCTTGGCACTAGCTTGTACCTGTGTTGTTGTGTGCCATACGTCTGTCTAGGTGTCTAGTCTTTTTCCTAGTCCTTGAGTATCTCAGAAATATTGACAGATGTTCCTCTTGGTCACATAACAACCCATGGGGCAATGCTGTGCTCTGCAGTATTAAGATCCAGGACCAGTGGTGTAAAGTACTACTTAAGTAGTTTTTTGGGGTATCTTTAATTTACTTTACTATTTATATTTGTGACTACTTTTACTTCACTCCATTCCTAAAGAAAATTATGTTATTTTTACTCCATACATTTTTCCTGACTTCCAAAAGTACTCGTTACATTTTGAATGCTTAGCAGGACAAGAAAATGGTCCAATTCACACTTATCAAGAGAACATCTGTCACACCCTGACCTTTAAATGCCTGTTGTTTCTCGTTGGTTTGGTCAGGGTGTGAATTTCTATGTGTACATTCTATGTTTGTATTTCTATGTTGGCCGGGTGTGGTTCCCAATCAGAGGCAGCTGTCGATCGTTGTCTCTGATTGGGGATCATACTTAGGTAGACATTTTGTTTACCTATGTTGTGGGATCTTGACTCTTGTTTGTGTGTAGCCATTGTGAGTGTCACGTTATGTTGCTTTTGTTGTTTTGTTCTGAGTTTATTTCAATAAACAAATATGTACGCATACCACGCTGCACCTTGGTCCAATCCTGTACTCAACGAACGTGACAACATCGCTGGTCATCCCTACTGCCTCTGATCTGATCTCACTAAACAAACATGCTTCGTTTGTAAATTATGTCTGAGTGTTGGAGTGTGTCCCTGGCTATCCGTAAATAAAAAAACAAGAAAATGGTACGGTCTGGTTTGCTTAATATAAGGAATTGGAAATTATTTATTATTTTACTTTTGATACTTAATGATGCATTATGCAGAAATTGCTCTGCCATTTCCTGGTTGCTAAAATTCTAATAGTTAGCCTAATTTCAGTTTATGTGACAAAACAAGAAGTCATTGTGTAGAGAATCATTGTACCATCTAAACCGCTGTGAAGTATATTTTCCATAACCAAAAATATTGTATATTCAGCTGGTGTACAAAACCGTAAGTAAAATATGCAAAAACAAAACTTCAGAACGGGAAGCATAGAAATAGGACACATAGAACAGATCTACCACTTCTTAGACTTGCTTTCAACGGGAATGAAAGATCTATAACTCACATTTCTATGTGAATTTGGTCGGGTCTATGAAAAAGTAGCGTTAAGTATATTTTAGCAATTACATTTACTTTTGATAGTTAAGTATATTTAAAACCAAATACTTTTAGACCTTACTCAAGTAGTATTTTACTGGGTGACTTTCAATTTTACTTGAGTCATTTTCTATTAAGGTATATTTACTTTTACTCAAGTATGACATTTTTTCCACCATTGTCCAGCACTGAGACAGCCACAACCTCAAGCACTCTCACAGCTCTCTAAGGAAGCATTTATTCAACTTTGAACATTCTCCTCTTTTTTCAGTTTTAGTATTTAAAGTGTTTTGTTAGCTAAATCAAAGCCTACTTTAATGGTTATTTTTATCAATGTCTAGTGTGCATCTTGTCAGTCCCCCCCCCATCCCTCATTCACGTTATTGGCTGGCTGGACCATCCCACTGTTCTGTGGCACCAGCGGGGGATTTGGCTGATTGAGAGATAGATTGGGCAATCATTCTGTCTGAGAGGGAGACATCGATTATCTGCTGTAGGGTCTAAGGGCCACGAGGGGCCCATCAGTAACACATTGATCGACAGACTTAGAGGTGTGTGTGTTTGTTTAACTAGACTTGTGGGTACCAGAAGTCCTCACAAGTATAGTAAAACATGGAGAATTTGGCAAGTTGGGACATTTTGCCGGTCCCCACGAGGAAAAATGCTATTTTAGGCTTAGGAGTTAGGTTTAGGGTTAGGGATACAATTAGGGATATAATTAAGGTTAGGCTGGCCCTCCGGAGTGGCGCAGCGTTCTAAGGCACTGCATCGCAGTGCTAGAGGCGTTACTATAGAACCGGGTTCATTCCCGGGCTGTGCCACAACCGGCCGTGGCCGGGAGTCCCATAGGACGGCGCACAATTGGCCCAGCGTTGTCCGGTTTAGGGGAGGGTTTGACCGGGGGGGCTTTACTTGGCTCATTGCTCTTTAGGGTTATGGTTAGGTTTAGGGTTAAGGTTAGGTTTAGGGTTAAGAAAAATATGATTTTGGATGGGAATCAATTCTTTGGGCGCCACAAGGATAGCAGTACAAAACTGTGTGTGTGCGTGCATGTTTTACCCTACCTTTGTTCAGTAGTTGTGTGTGTTTATGTACGAGAAGAAGGTGAGAAGCCACCAAGGAATATTGTGTGAATATCAATGTGGTAAAAGGATGTGTTGTGGTCATGGTGGTGGTTTTCAAAGTTTCCGAATAGCAGCATGCATAGTGAATCATTTATGAGCAATTCATCCAAGGTGCACAGGTAGAGGGAATTCTGTAGCTTTAATGTATCTGGTTTCAGTGGAGAAAAACTCTCTTTATGTTAGACAAGGAAAGCAACTGAGTGTGTGCATGTCAACATCTATTTATCCATAATGTGTGGCACACCTCAACTTGAAAGTAGAGTAGACCATTCTTTTCTCCCCTAAGAGATACTTGTTGTTCTTGTCTCCTCAAACTGTCTGTGAAGGGTACATTTTCATAGGCTCAGATGTGTAGACATTCATATAGGCCTAGATCAGCAGGTTGACTTCATGTTGGTCTAGTCTACTTTCACTCCATATAGGGCTATGAGTGGAGTAGTAATACATGTAGCTAGTTGCATGTACCTCGCACATTGGGCTGCTACATCAGACTCTGCAGCACGAGAGCGAGAGTAGCTACGTGAGGGACTTTTATTAGTCTTTGTCTGCAGGAGGAAGCAGTGCTGAGCTCAGGCTATTTCTGTCCCATGCAGGCACATACACACACTGACTCGCACACAGACACACACACTTCTGTTGATCTAATGGTTATTTATATAGCCATGTCACTTAATAAGGAAACTGTCAGCCAGAGCTCCACCATCGATGAGCCATGCGATCATTAGTCGATTAATATCTCCTCTGCAATTCCCCTCCTTATCAGAGCTATTTTCACCTGCTAGATAAAGACTGATGATCTGAGGACAGCGTTATACAGTTTTGACGTGTATATATGCCAACCATAGCAAGGATGAGGGTCTTATTTTCCCTTTCCCTTTCATTGAGGTCTGATGCCATCAGCATGGTGCTTTTCATGCATGGCATTTGAGGAATGTCTCCTGCTGTTGTTTGTGTCACTGTGCGTCAAAGGGAGAAAATGTAGTCATGGGTTCGACATGAATCAAGGAGTTTTGCTCCTTCTACAATGCTACATTACTACACTCATGCTACTACAGTACTACACTCTTACTACTACACAGATAGGTACTGCACAAATACTTACTGAAAGTACCTAGATTTGCTGTGTGACACACTGTAGACAGACACAGACCTATCCATTTTAGTCTGGATGTGAGGATGTGGAACTTGCACTGTGGACAAGCAAATCTTCCTTGTTTTTATTTATGGCCAAGGTCTGTTCCCAGGTCAGGGTCTCCTCCCCCTCCCCACTGTAGTGCTGGCCTCAGTTAAGTGACACCTGCTCTGGGGTCAGCCTCAGTGGCTGGTTGTCTGCTGACGGTAATAGAGGTCCTGGGGGTTAACGACGTGATCTTTCCCCTGCAGTCAGCACAGCCGCCTCCTCCACACTATTTCATCCCATTATCTTCATCCATCCCCTTCTACTTGCTCCCACCATATTTTCTTCACCCCATCTCGTTTTTCTCTACATTTGTTAACCCTTTCAACCTCTACATCCGCAGGTACTGGTGTCACCTCCCTTGGCCCCTTAGCCCTCCCCTCTTTCATCAGCCCTTTTTCACCACCCCATCCTTCTATCCATTCCTCTGTAATTATCTCTCCATCCATCTATATCCTTCTGTCCCTACTCCAATGCTCTCTACCCCCCTCCTCTCTCAATCCCCCTTCGTAAAAGGGAAATGTGAAAGCTGTGACACACAGGAAACCCATAACCATGGCGACGATGTGGCTTGTCAACGCGTCATCCTCCCAGTGTTGTATTACTTCAATAACGGCTCCCTTTCAGGACCATTCCCCCGCTCTCCTCTTCTCTCAGCCCTCCTCCCTCTCTCTCTCTCTTCCTTCCTTCCTCTGTCAGACAGTCATGAACCCCACTACCCTGACTAAGAAAAAAGGTGAAGCTTATACCCAACGTTCACACGTCTCCGTTTTCCTCACCGAATGTATTGATTGCTAATCGTCATAATTACCAACAAGGACCAATCCTTCACCACCTCTTCACCTTCATTCTCAGCTCCCGGTACTTGTGTAACACACTTTCAGTAGAAGGTTAGGCAAATACTGTCTCTATGTAGATTGGCTACAGTTCAATTTGCAGTGTAAGACCCCACATGGTAACCGTGGCGATGTGACGATGACATATGGGGCCAGACAGTGATCAGACTCCTCTGTGTCCCCGGGTGGAGAGGATCCTATTAGAATCTGGTGTTTGGAACTGTGGATGCGGAGCACCTGAGTGTGTAACAGTCTTCTGATAGACTTGGGCTATTGGAGTGTGTTAGAGCCGTCTGACTGATTGAACACTAGACAGTGGTTGAGCGGTCTCTGACGTTCTCTCTTTTCCTCTATTTCTCTTCTCCTCATTTCTTTCTCAATTCAATTCAATTGTCTTTATTTCTCACTCTCTCGCCCTCTATATATCCATCTCCATCTCTCTCTCTCTCTCCCTTCCTCCTTCCCTCCACCTCTCTCCCTCCCTCACTCTCTCCCCATCCTATCATCCTAGTGCTCTACACTCAGCCTATGCAAAATGTTGGCCATATCTGCAACCTTTCTCTCTCTCCTCGGTGCCAGGGGCAGAATAGGCTGTGTTTAAACAAACCTCTGTGAAACACACAGTAAGGGAAATAGGGAAAAAATTGGCTGGGACTTTTTTCTTTCTTGGTTCATTCTCATACATGCATTTGCTTTAGCCGCATTTCAGGAAGCCACTTCCAAGCTCAAGACTGTCAGGCCCAGCCAGCGAGGGGCCCCGGCGTTCAGCCGATATATTACTCAGTGTGTGATATGTGTGCGAGATGACTGAGAAGGGAGATGGCTCAGATTACTGATGTGTGTGTGTGTGTCCATGTGTGAATTTGTGTCCGTGTCGGTGTGTGTGTACGTTTGTACGGGCGCCTGCCTGTTGGGATGAAAAATGGCTTCACAACAAAGTCTGTGATTGTGAAAACACAAGAATTTACAGTATTTGCTGTTCTCAGCCTTCAGAAATGGCAAGGCGCTAACATTTGATTGCTTGCATCAACAGAGCAAACATGCAGGGCCGGTTCCAGGCACAAGCGGCATAAGCGGTTGCTTAGGGCCCCCGGCGGCTAGGAGGCCCCCGACCTGAGAGTAAGAATAGTAGAATATACAAGGTGCAATTTCGAAATTTGGTTGTGCCTCAGCAGTTTTTCTCTTGTTACAGTGCCTTCGGAAAGATCAGACCCCTTGACTTTTTTTGTTACGTTACAGCCTTATTCTAAAATTGATTAAATAAGAAATGTTCCTCAGCAATCTTCACACAATATCCAATAATGACAAAGCGAAAACTGGTTTTTAGAATTTTTAGCAAAAAAATGGAAATACCTTATTTACATACGTATTCAGACCCTTTGCTATGAGACTCGAAATTGAGCTCAGGTTCATCCTGTTTCCATTGATCATCCTTGAGATGTTTCTACAACTTGATTGGAGTCCACCTGTGGTAAATTCAATTGATTGGACATGATTTGGAAAGGCACACACCTGTCTATATAAGTTCCCGCAGTTGACAGTGCATGTCAGAGCAAAAACCAAGCCATGAGGTTGAAGGAATTGTCTGTAGAGCTCCAAGACAGGATTTTGTCGAGGCACAGATATGGGGAAGGGTACCAAAAAAATTCTGCAGCATTGAAGGTCCCCAAGAACACAGTGGCCTCCATCATTCTTAAATGGAAGAAGTTTGGAACCACCAAGACTCTTCCTACAGTTGCCCACCGGCCAAACTGAGCAATCGGGGGGAGAAGGGCCTTGGTCAGGGAGGTGACCAAGAACCCGATGGTCACTCTGACAGAGCTCTAGAGTTCCTCTGTGGAGATGGGAGAACCTTCCAGAAGGACAACTATCTCTGCAGCACTCCACCAATCAGGCCTTTATGGTAGAGTGGCCAGACGGAAGCCACTCCTCAGTAAAAGGCACCTGACAGCCCACTTGGAGTTTGCCAAAAGGCACCTAAAGACTCAGAGACCCTGAGAAACAAGATTATTTGGTCTGATGAAACCAAGATTGAGCTCTTTGGCCTGAATGCCAAGCATCACGTCTGGAGGAAACCTGGCACCATCCCTACGGTGAAGCATGGTGGTGGCAGCATCATGCTGTGGGGATGTTTTTCAGCGGCAGGGACTGGGAGACTAGTCAGGATCGAGGCAAAGATGAACAGAGCAAAGTACAGAGAGATCCTTGATGAAAACCTGCTCCAGAGTGCTCAGGACCTCAGACTGGGGCGACGGTTCAGCTTCCAAAAGGACAACAACCCTAAGCACACAGCCAAGACAACGCAAGAGTGGCTTCAGGACAAGTCTCTGAATGTCCTTGAGTGGCCCAGCCAGAGCCCGGACTTGAACCTAATCGAACATCACTGGAGAGACCTGAAAATAGCTGTGCAGCAACGCTCCCCATCTGCAGAGAAGAATGAGAGAAACTCCCCAAATACAGGTGTGCCAAGCTTGTAGCGTCATACCCAAGAAGACTTGAGGCTGTAATTGCTGCCAAAGGTGCTTCAACAAAGTACTGAGTTGAAGAGTCTGAATACTTATGTAAATGTGATATTTCAGTTTTTTATTTTTAACAAATTAGCAAAAATGTCTAAAAACCTGTTTTTGCTTTGTCATTATGGGGTATTGTGTGTAGATTGATGAGGGAAAAAACAATTTAATCAATTTTAGAATAAGGATGTAAGGTAACAAATTGTGGAAAAAGTCAAGGGGTCTGAATACTTTCTGAATGCACTGTATGTCAGTCACTGACAGTCACTCAATTAGCCATGTCCTCTAACAGTCTTTACATTGGTAGTTAGTCTAGCCAGCTATCTAAACTTGTAGTAATCATGGCCGAATACCGACCGGGCATGCAGGGCACGTGCCCAGGGGCCCTGACCTTCAGGGGGCCCCATTGATTTTGTTAGTCATTCTCACTCGGATATCATATTAACATGGCATAAGTCATTACAAAATGTGTAGAATTGCAGGAAATTAGCTTTAAAACTGCAACATTTGCATGAAAATGTACTTTCAAACAAAAATATGTCTCCCTATCGTCAAGAGGGGGGGCAATAAAATGTTTTGCCGTGAGGTGGGGGGCCTCCCAACCAAATCTCACTTAGGGCCTCCAAAAGGCTAAAGCCGGCCCTGCAAACATGCTACCATCTGACTGGAAGCATGATCAAAGCTAACACACTAGTATCTGACTGCTAGTAGCCCGCCCCTGACTAATAAATAAATAACAAGAGACCTGGGGAGGGTGAGCAGTAGAAATTGAATTAAAGAGCTTCTTGTGTTCAATTAAACAGCCGTAAACACTGCTGAAATCAGTCCAGGGGAGGAGGAAAAGAACTCCACCAAGAGAGAGTGATAGACACACACACACTGTATCAGACACTCCCAGAGATTTTCTGATGACGCTTCCTTGTTTCTGAGTTAGCTGTAGAGCTGTAAACCTTGAGACTGCTGCAGTAGAGACTGGCACTGGCAGGCTCAGTGTTTATAGAACCCCACTACCCTCCTGATCCTGAGGCAGCCAGGGAATGGCCTCTGCCTACTGAGTCACGGAGTCATCTATATTCAGAACGAGAGGATCTCCTCCTCCTCCTATCTTTACACAGACCAACATGATACACACTGTGGGTGACTCCAGAGTGATGCAACAGCTGAAAGACCACATTTCGGCCCTAGAGCGACAAGGAGCTGTTGGTTTACTCTCTTTTATCATTACAGGAAACACAGTAAAAACACAGAAACGCAGTAAAAAGACAGACACAGCTAGACAGCCTAAAAACAAACTAGAACAGGATATTAATGCGCCATCGAAACAAATTAAATCGAATATAAAAAAATAAAATAGGCAGTCGACAATGGATAGATACAGTACAAACACACAAACACACTAGGATGCGGGCTCACACACACATACACACCCTATACTTTATGGGCCATTTTTAACCAGGCACTATTTCAGACTGCTAAACTCTGGCGTTTTTATGACACTCCCCCGCTTAAATCAATTACGGGGAGGCAGAGGCATGCGAGCATCAGCGGTAATAACCCATGGGGGTCGGGGGCCTCGCAGTGAGAATGGTGATTAATGAAAACCACACTGATTTGTCCACAAATGTTGTAGAACCCGACTCACTAACGAAAAAGGAAAAAGAGAATACAATGTATGTACAATGGCATATGGTGTCAGCAGTGGGATTTCAGTCCTACAGTGTGTTCAGATCACGGTGTACCATTAGACTGACCTGTTGGCCCATCTTTGTTATCAGTCCTGCCAATGCCTGTTGTTACCAGTCTGTTACTTTCTTTAGGCCTGCCCATTTAATTAGATAGAAAAAATACAGCTGACTTGTGTTCTGTTTTTAAGGCTGGTCTAATTCTTCCATTGATGTTCCCACTGACAATGTGGCTTAATTAATGCTGCTCTTATTGACATTTTCTTCTCTCTTGGCTCTGTTGCTCGCCATTATCCTGGTATGTATGTTCTGTTGTCTCTGCTGTCGACTGCTGTCTATGGACTAGTTCAGCCTTACTCAATAGGTGACCGCCTCAACGAAATTATATATATTTTTAAGGAACTGTCAGGCTTTTAAATTACTGTTGAGAGTTGTATAGTTGAATGCAGAAGGTGCAATTTTGAAATTTGGTGGTACATTAGCAGTTTTTATCATATGAACACACATAATACATGGCAAAATGTGTAGAATTGCAGGAAATTAGCTTTAAAAGTGCAAAGGTTTATTTCTGCCCCATGGCAAAGTATGTAGACTTGCATGAAATATGCTTTAAAACTGCAAAATTCTCTCTGCCAACAAGAGAGGTTTGAACAGTTTGTGTCGTGGACAGTGTGTGAGTGTTAAAAATATATGTGGCGCAAGTTGCTGAGGGGCTGACTATTTCTGTGGGGTCTGCATGGGTCGCAAGGTGGGGGTTTGTAACTATGCCGATAAATGACAATATATCCATCCGGACACGGTACTGGTACCCCGTGTAAATAGCCAAGTTATTGTTATTGTGTAGTTATTCCTCATGTTATTATCTTTCTATTATTTAAAACATATTCACTGCATTGTTGGGAAGGGCCCGTAAGTAGACTGTTGTTTACGAAGCATATGACAAATAAAATGTGACTTGATTTTACCTTTGCCACCTAGGAAATGTGTGTGTCCAGGTGATTACTGATGCATTCATGAAGATTCATTCATACAGTATCTCTCTACATCACTGCAGCTTATTGAGTGCAATGTGCTTTTAAAAAGTAAAGCAGAGAAGATGCATTATGATTATGAATAACGGGAGGTAGAGAAAGATAATCATTCTAATACGCAGGGATGGGGTCAATACCCTTTAAATTCATAAGAATTTAATAAATCTTCCATTAAACGATTTCAGGTCATCGTGAATTTACTTAATTGAAATGGAATTGAGCTCATTCTTGCTAATAGGCACTACTACTATCATCATCAACAGCAGCACTATTCTGGTCAGCCTGTACTGAGTGTTTGTTGTGTTGTGTTTGCCAGCTGGACCCAGACAACACCGGTTTCATCACAGTGGAGAACTTCACCAGTTTGGTGGAGCACCATGAGCTGCAGCTGGACCCCTCCAAACTGGACATGCTGTTCGCCCTGGTGCAGAGCAACGAGGATGGACAGGTGTGCTACCAGGAGCTCATCGAGCTGGTGAGTGGCTGAAAGGGTACACACAGAGGCATGCATGCACGCACACACACAGAGAGGCACGTTCACACAGAAGCAGGCATAGTACACACTCACGCTACAGAATTATTTGAGAAAGGTTAGAGAATTGCACACAAATTATTTCATGATAATACACACAAATACAGATATTCACACTCATAATTCATAGCATGAGAATATCATGCACTTGCAGCGTAATATACTGTATTGTACTGCTGAGTAGTGTTCTGAGTCTTGTGATGCTGCTAGGAGGTCAGAGACATCATTCTTATTCATTCCTTTCTACTTAACCTGTCTGTGTTTAGACCTGTGTTTCTTTTAAAGGGGCTGAGGTGATTCTCAGCCCTGTGTAGCCGCAGACCAGAGCATGTTTCTTCTCCTCCTCGCAGCGTGATTAATTAAACACAATGCAATTCCTGCCATATTTTCACTTCCCTAAGCTGATTCCTTCTCTCCCTCTGTTTTGCTCATGGTGTGTAATGACAGCTTTTATTTCCATTTGGTTCCTGTACAAATGCTCAGGTCTCGCTTCTATTGAGTGAGCAGCAATGCAGATGAAGTCTCGCTGACATTTGAACCCCATCCTTAAGTTTACTCCTCCTTCTATCATCCACTCTTCCCTTTATGGAACTCTACGCCTATTCCTTCTGTTACTCTAGGAAGAGTCTTGGTGGTTCCAAACTTCTTCCATTTAAGAATGATGGAGGCCACTGTGTTCTTGGGGACCTTCAATGCTGCAGACATTTTTTGGTACCCTTCCCCAGATCTGTGCCTCGACACAATCCTTTCTCGAAGCTCTACGGACAATTCCTTTGACCTCATGGCTTGGCTTTTGCTCTGAAGTGCACTCTCAACTGTGGGACCTTATATAGACACGTGTGCCTTTCCAAATCATGTCCAATCAATTCAATTTACCACAGGTGGACTCCAATCAAGTTGTAGAAACATTTCAAGGATGATCAATGGAAACAGGATGCACCTGAGGTTAGGTACTGTAGGTTAGACAGCACACTACCACTTCCACACTCCATTCCCCCATGGGGCACCAGCAACTTTGACCAGGTGCTGAGCCTGGTTGATAAGTGCATCAGGTGCTGCCAATTAAAGTGATCGTCAGTCAGTGGCCCAGCTTGTAAGCTGGGAGGTGGCTGGTTTTGTTTGGTGGCCATGAGGTCTTTTGTTTTTGAGTCTTTAGTTTGGGCATGCCTTTGGTATTTTTTCCTTTTTGATTATATTTATGTTTCGTCACCCACTGAGAAAATACTAATCCGCTTAGACTGGCTGACCAAGAAGTCAAGAGAGAGAGTTGGCTCTGGACCAAGGTAAGGTTGCGGTCTCCCTGGGCACATGTGCATCCAACACGGTTTTACAGCCCTCTAACCAATTGTACTATTATGTGTGTTTTTTCGCTTTATTTGTAATTTATTCTGTACATAATGTTTCTGCCATCGTCTCTTATAACCAAAAAGAGCTTCTGGATATCAGGACAGCGATTACTCACCTCGTATTGGACGAAGATGTTTTCTTCAACGAGTCGGACGCGAAGGATATCCTACAGACACCCGACAAGGCCCAAATCCCCGTCATTCGCAAGAGAAAGAGACGGAGATATCGTGGACGTAGGTCGGGTGCCTTGTAAGGATCCGACGGCGAGCGAGTAAACTGCCTCTTCCATCAATCCTATTAGCTAATGTTCAATCATTTGAAAACAAAATGAACGACCTAAGATCAAGGTTATCCTACCAACGGGACATTCAAAACTGTAATATCTTATGTTTCATCGAGTCATGGCTGAACGACGACATGGATAACATACAGCTGGCGGGATATACGCTACATCGGCAGGATAGAACGGCTGACTCCGGTAAGACAAGGGGTGGTGGTCTGTGTATATTTGTAAACAACAGCTGGTGCACAAAATCAAATACTCAAAATCAAATACTAAGGAAGTCTCAAGGTTTTACTCGGCTGAGGTAGAGTATCTTATGATAAGCTGTAGACCACACTATTTACCAAGAGAGTTTTCATCTATATTTTTCTTAGCTGTCTATTTACCACCACAAACCGATGCTGGCATTAAGATTGCACTCAATGAGCTATATAAGGCCATAACTAAACAGGAAAACGCTCATCCAGAGGCAGCGCTCCTAGTGGCCGGGGACTTTAATGCAGGGAAACCTAAATCCATTCTACCTCATTTCTACCAGCATGTTAAATGTGCAACCAGAGGAAAAAAAATCTAGACCACCTTTACTCCACACACAGAGACGCATACAAAGCTCTCCCTCGCCCTCCATTTGGCAAATCTGACCATAACTCTATCCTTATAAGCAAAAACTAAAGCAGGAAGCACCAGTGGTCAGATTACGCAGATGCTAAGCTCCAGGACTGTTTTTCTAGCACAGACTGGAACATGTTCCGGGATTCTTCAGATAGCATTGAGGAGTACACCACATCAGTGACTGGCTTCATCAATAAGTGCATCGATGACGTACATACCCCAACCAGAAGCCATGGATTACAGGCAACATCCGCACTGAGCTAAAGGGTAGAGCTGCCGCTTTCAAGGAGTGGGACTCTGACCCGGATGCTTATAGGAAATCCCGCTATGCCCTCCGACGAACCATCAAACAGGCAAAGAGTCAATACAGGACTAAGATTGAATCGTACTACACCGGCTCTGACGCTCGTCGGATGTGGCAGGGCTAGAAAACTATTATAGACTACAAAGGGAAGCACAGCCGCGAGCTGCCCAGTGACACAAGCCTACTAGTCGAGCTAAACCACTTCTATGCTCGCTTCGAGGCAAGCAACACTGAAGCATGCATGAGAGCACCAGCTGTTCCGGATGACTATGTGATCACACTCTCCGTAGCCGATGTGAGTAAGACTTTTAAGCAGGTCAACATTCACAAGGCCGCAGGGCCAGACGGATTACCAGGACGTGTACTCCGAGCATGTGCTGACCAACTGGCAAGTGTCTTCACTGACATTTTCAACTGTCCCTGACTGAGTCTGTAATACCAAAATGTTTCAAGCAGACCACCATAGTCCCAGTGCCCAAGGACACTAAGATAACCTGCCTAAATGACTACCGACCCGTAGCACTGACGTCTGTAGCCATGAAGTGCTTTGAAAGGCTGGTCATGGCTCACCTCAACACCATTATCCCAGAAATCCTAGACCCACTCCAATTTGCATACCGCCCCAACATATCCACAGATGATGCAATCTCTATTGCACTCCACACTGCCCTTTCCCACCTGGACAAGAGGAACACCTACGTGAGAATGCTATTAATTGACTATAGCTCAGCATTCAACACCATAGTGCCCTCAAAGCTCATCACTAAGCTAAGGATCCTGGGACTAAACACCTCCCTCTGCAACTGGATCCTGGACTTCCTGACGGGCCGTGTGGTGCCAGGATAACAACCTCTCCCTCAACGTGACCAAGACAAAGGAGATGATTGTGGACAGCAGGGAAAAAAAGAGGACTGAGCACGCCCCCATTCTCATCGACGGGGCTGTAGTGGAACAGGTCGAGAGCTTCAAGTTCCTTGGTGTCCACATCACCAACGAACTATCATGGTCCAAACACACCAAGACAGTCGTGAAGAGGGCACGACAAAGCCTATTCCCCCTCAGGAGACTGAAAAGATTTGGCACGGGTCCTCAGATCCTCAAAAAGTTATACAGCTGCACCATCGAGAGCATCCTCACTGGTTGCATCACCGCCTGGTATGGCAACTGCTCGGCCTCCGACCGCAAGGCACTACAGAGGGTAGTGCGTACGGCCCAGTACATCACTGGGGCCAAGCTTCCTGCCATCCAGGACCTCTATACCAGGCGGTGTCAGAAGAAGGCCCTCAAAATTATCAAAGATTCCAGCCACCCTAGTCATAGACTGTTCTCTCTGCTACTGCACGGCAAGCGGTACTGGAGCACCAAGTCTAGGTCCAAAAGGATTCTCAGCAGCTTCAAGCCATAAGACTCGTGAACAGCTAATCATGGCTAAGCGGACTACTTGCACTGCCCCCCCCCCCCACCCCATCTTTTTACTCTGCTACTACTCTGTTAATTGTTTATGCATAGTCACTTTAACTCTACCCACATGTACATATTACCTCAATTACCTCAACTAGCCGGTGCCCCCGCACATTGACTCTGCACCGGTACCCCCCTGTATATAGCCTCCCTACTGTTATTTTATTTTACTTCTGCTCTTTTTTTCCTCAACACTTTTTAGTTGTTTTATTTTACTTTTTTATTAAAAAATAAATGCATTGTTGGTTAAGGGCTGTAAGTAAGCATTTCACGGTAATGTGTACACCTGTTGTATTCGGCACATGTGGCAAATCAAATTTGATTTGATTTGAAATGCAGATTTCGCACATAAATGCACACATTCATTCAGGTTACAGACCATGTAACTAGGCCTAGGACCCCTAGACAAAGTGAGTGCAACAATATCCATAGGCTAGTTATGGGTTTCGTAACAATTTATTTCACCTTGTTAACTGAGTGTTCCAGTAGTTGCTATCATGTATTCTTGTTAAATTAAAGAAATCTGTAATTCCTCTCCTTCAGGTGGTAGTTTAAATGATGTTCTGAGAACATCCCACATAGCTCCCATCCTGTAGGTAGGATCATTGTCAGGTGACTGTGGTCATGAGAAACTCCTTGCCGTAGTCATTTTTCCTCCTTAATGGGAGAGATACAGCAATACGGATCCCACCGCTGCCACCATCTGGCAATATGCTTTGTGTTGTAGTCATGACAGAGAAATATATACAACGTTTGGCAAACATTCCTGGGCAAGCTTCAGTTAGCTACAGTAAATAGTCAAGTAAGAATATTTAAGTTTCCTGTGTAACACCAATATTGCTCCATGGATTCTCTGGGTTAGCGCTGCCACCATCTGGCAATATGCTTTGTGTTGTAGTCATGACAGAGAAATATATACAACATTTGGCGAACTTTACTGGGCATGCTACAGTAAATAGTCAAGTAAGAATATTTAAGTTTCCTGTGTAACACCAATATTGCTCCAGGGATTCTCTGGGTTAGTGCTTCACTTGAAGATGGATAAAGTAGAAGCTTAGCCCAGAGGAGCATTTGCCACCTGTGACCTGACTGAAGCTCTCTTGGGGAATGTTTAGTGTCCCCAGCAAGGCTATTTTGGATATTTAGTGGCTCCAGTGTGGTCATTATATTGTTTAGAGATGTCAATGGGGTCGTCTGACAGTGTTTAGTGCCCACGGTTCATCTGTCTTCTGAGTAGAAGAACAGGGTCTCACTGAAGGGAAAGACAAAAAAAAAAGATAATAGATGGACCCCATCATCCCTGATACACATCGTACACACACACACACACTTATCTGCTCCACACATACAAACACACCCTCGCAACACACCACAAACTCAGGCAGGCACCATTTCTCTTTTAGGTGGGTTGCTGACTTCAGAGTGGTGCACTCTGCTTAAGTGTCCATGACTGAAGGTTTTTCCAGTTTAGGTCCTGATGATAAAGGTGGGCTCTCATTTTAAAAGGATTTTGCTAGAATGAGGGTGGGCGCAAACAGTGCTGAGATCCACCGTGATTTCGTTTTTTTCTTATCACTGTGTGTTTGCATTTATTTAATAGCTTAATAATGGATTATAAATGACCAGTAAATGTGTAGTATATGGCGTGCCGATCCTGTTTAATAGAACTAAGTGATGGCGAGTCATTTACTGCATGGTGATTCGCGGGCGTTCAGATTCCAGCCTGGTTCTTCACAGTATGTGGTAAATCATTTAGTAACATTAATTTAATGATTTATTAATCGAGCTAGCTAGCATTTAGTAGCAGGACTTTTTGACTCTAAGCCTGGAGGGCTCTGTGTAAGAGAGAGAGGGCTGATGTTCTCCCATCACCATTCATGAAATAAGTGTGATTTTGCACCAAAGTTTAGCAAGCATCAGGACCAACTTTGGAAATGTACTTGAATGGAACGTTAGAATAACTTGATACCAAACTCAATACCTCCTAATATACCTCTATATAAGGAAAACATGGAACAAATATCATCTTTATGTGTTATTATTTATTCAAACTATCGATCAGTACACTATTGAGCAAACACCAGAACTAATTAAGTCATCATGAAGAACAGAGGCTGAGCTGAGACCAGCATGTACTGTAAGCCCACACACTGTTCTCAAGGAGGGGAGTGTGAGCACCCTGCTGTTTTGGAATACATGCACGTGTGCACACACACACCCCGATGTCAATTAGGTCCATTCCTGTCTCCCTTAAAGGGAATTCTATCTATAGCTCCATCCTTAGCCTTTAATATCAATAATTGTCCCTGGCAGACATCTTGCTGCTTGTCAAGGGAATTTTAGCTGCGGACCTTGTTGATGCCAAAGTCTGAGGTTCTCCTGAGTAGTGATGTAATGGGATGTGATGCTAGCACACCCTGCTAGAATGCTCCTCATGGTTTTGTCAGGGCTCCCCAGTCAAGTTGTCAGCTCTCGTGCTAATGCGCATTATTGTCTGCCTCCCTGTCTCATATCCCAAACTTCAAAGGCCGCTTACTGCTCACTTTAGAAGCGGCAGTCCCACATGTCAGAGGAAAAGGCAAGGTGGAATGACAAGTGTGTCTACTGGGAAACGTCTCCAGGGAACGTTCAGGAGCACAAATCTCAGAGAGGGAGAAGAAACGCATCGCTAAGAGGAGAGGCAGCAGATGTTTTTGGAAAACAAACGTAGATAAAACACTGGAAACACAGGCATCATTTAGAGAAGAAAGCCCACAGAGAAGAAAACATTTCATTTGTATATAAATCCCCCAACCACACACAACCACGTTCCTTTTCTCCCATTCGGTCTCTTAACTCTTCTAATAAAGACATTAGTAAAGACAGGTGGAAACCATTCACTTCCGCAGTACAACTGCAGCCGTGCTTCCCCGGAGCTAGTCGATCCATGAGGGCATCCTATTTTCCCTCCCTAATTTTCCTTTCCTTCCTTCCTAATGTCCCCCTTCTACCCCCTCTCTTGTGCTTTCCTCTCCCTCCAAGAGCATGTACAGTATAATTGCATTTCCTGGGCCTGATCTCCATGCTAAAATATGCAGTGGTGCAGCCACGGGAGGGCCGGCAGCCCCTCTCGGCTTGACGCTGCTTATCGCTGTGCCACAGACCCACACTTGCTCATTGTTCAACCCTGGCATCATAATTACCTAATACGTGTCTCACGGCATCCCGCTCGACTATACTTCACCACCATCCACTACCGCTCTACAGACTAACTATATTTCTGTTTTTCCTCAATTATTTTCTTTAATAGCCTCAGATGGCTAGGATCCATTTGTATGTGATTTGTTTGTTTTATATATTTATTTATTTGTCTCCTTGTTTTGTTTCTTTCATTAGCGCCATGTAGATATTGCCCCCGATTACTTTCATTGTTATACTCCCCACAGTGTCCGGATGTAATGAGCCTGCACACAACAGCACCTAATGAATTGTGGTTGGTTCGCTTTAGCTGCCTCCTTGATGGGGTCTGTGGGGACTCTGATGACTGTTGCAGTAGAGATGGATACAGTATGAATGTGGCTTGACCTATTGTCTGCGTCTGTGTATCATCTTGGATTGAAGCATCATTCTCTCTATGGCATAGGCATACACAGATCCATATACACTGAGATGTGACATTCTTATCTCCTTCCCTTGTAGAGCCTTTCAGATTTATTATCATCATATGAGAAAGTTCATTTTCTTCCAGATTCATGGTAGAATGTGTCCCTTATCCCTGTCAGTTGTGGTTGCACCATGGTTTTTCCTCAAGACTTCCTACTAAAGTAGCAGACATCAGGGATTCCATGTACCAAGTCATGCTAGCCCCCAGCTGTGCCGTTCCTGCTCACTAAGGAAACCTGAAGTGTCAATGATAACAGGAGCCTGTCACCTGTCTCCCCACCACATGCTCCACTCCCCCCCTCAGCAGAGCTTTGCCCCTTGAAGGCAAAAACACAGTTATTTTGGGTGAATAGAGGCACCGTGTGTACCTGTCAAGGCAAGGCAGTGCAGAAATGTTCTCCTCCACTTTTAGCACCGAACGCTTCAAGGAAGCCGCGAGAATGGAGATGCTCTTTGTTTGAAGTTGAGTGCAGGTAAAAAGTCAACTTCTAAATGCAGTTGCAGGCATTTAGCATGCCAGTTCATCTATCAAATTAAATATTTCTTCACTCTGTCAGTTTCAAAGGAATACTAACTTTGTTCCCATTGTCTCTATTCTCTCCATCCATCTCCCGCCCTTCTCCTCAGATGAGCAGCAAGCGCTCCAGCAGTTTCCGACGGGCCATCGCCAATGGCCGGCGTACGCTGCAGCGAGAGATCCTATTGGATGAGACGGGCCTGGGTGTGTACAAGCGCTTTGTGCGCTACGTGGCCTATGAGATCCTGCCCTGCGAGACAGACCGGCGCTGGTACTTCCACCAGAACCGCCTTTGTCCCCCGCCCGTCTTCATGGCCATCATTACCATCGTCCAGGTGAGAGGGAAGAGAGAAAGCAGATGGAGGCCTCGGATAACTGAGCTGCTCATTGTTAAGACCAGTGGTCCCAGAAATGTGTGCATTGTTACCCACCTGAATATGTTTTAAGTTACTTATGACCCTTCAAATAAGCAGAACAATGTTTATGGCATAAAAAGTATTTAGCTTTGTCATATGTGGAAATGGCTGTGACCCATTAGTGGGCAGTGGGCAGTGTGGGCACTGACCAACTATTTGGTAAACAATTGTTAAGGAGGTGCACTCGATGCCAGTCCTCTAAGGCAACTGTATTGGCTTTCATGATTGAATTCTTGGATTCTTATCAGGAACTGATGTAGAACTGGGAAACCAAGCCAGTGGACTAGTCTCTGGGCAAGTCAGTGACATTATTGGAACAATTTAGTGAGAGGAAAGAAAATAACCACTAGACAGCTTTAGCCCCAGAGGCCTTGGCTTGAATAGGGAATGCTAAAAAACCTGCTGCATGTTGCGTTTATATCTAAATGCTTCACAATGGCGGTGAATGGTCTGTAATGATAGAGGCAATGATAATGACTATTTCCTTTCATTAAAATTAATGAAGATGATGATTCATTGACTTATGAAAGGAGCTAATGGAATCGGTCCAGCTGTGTGTCTCTCTGTATGTGCATATCTTGTTGGTGCCAATGGAAGTCTTCAACCGACGCAAGGCATACGGCGTTCGAAAAAAGTGGCATTTATTAGCAGAATCACAATTTGTTTTGGCAAGGGCAATTTCTTGGCTCTCACAACAGAAATCTGTATTATATGATATAAATGAGTGTCTGAATGAAGAGACGTGGGTGTGAAGCAGCGTGTGTCTCTCCCGTCAGATCATCGTGTTCATGTGCTATGGCATCATGCTGAATAAGTGGGTGCTGCAGACATACCAGCCAGACTTCATGAAGAGCCCCCTGGTGTACCACCCCAGACACCGCCACCAGGTCTGGCGCTTCTTTAGCTACATGTTCATGCACGTTGGGTAAGAGACCACCCCACCTCATTCACACGTGCACACACACACAGTGTAAAGCAACATTAATTGATACTGCAAGGCATTGACCGATAATGGTTTAGATGGGATTTATGGATAGATGGTGATAGATGACTACTGTAGATAACATTGATGAAGTGTCTAGACTAAAGGAGCTGATTTAAAACTCTATGCATAATTAATCTGCTATTGAGACCGGTGTCATGCTCCTGTTCACTGTCTCTCAGGTTGGAGCAGCTGGGGTTCAATGCTCTGCTCCAGCTGATGATCGGTGTTCCCTTGGAGATGGTCCACGGCATCCTACGCATCAGTCTGCTGTACATGGCCGGTGTTGTGGCAGGTGAGTGTCCGTGTGTTAGCAACGTTGGTTGATGTGATAGTATCGTGGTTTAATGTGTTAGTAACCCTGTATTTTAGCGCTGATAGTACTGTATCTTGGTACTTTGGTGTTCTAGTATATTAATGTGTTGCTGTATTAATATTGTAGTTCCTTGGTGTGTTAGTCTGTTCCACATGGCTGGTAAGTTGCCCATAAAGTGTACGTTTGCACATTTAGTCTTGTCCAACACAGTGGTTTGTGTAGGTGTTTTAGTGTGTGCTCTTCAAAGTCGTCTGTTTGATCAATTTGATATACATCATGGCCTCTGAGTCCAGGTCAGCTAACTGTATACATGAACCACTTTAGTATTCAGAGCAGTAGCTGACGCACTTGAGGGACTGTTGACAACACACCTAATGTGTTTCCGTCTTCCTCAATGGCAGTGTTGAGATTGAGGCCTTTGATTCCACTCTGATTGTGTGATGTTGTTTTTGCTGCCATATCCCACCCCCACTACTGCAGAAATCATATCAACTCTGACACGTACAACCCTTGTTTCCTAGTACTGTATCTCTTTCATCTCCACTCTGCATGATTTTGTTTCCGACGTTGTAAATCACTTTCTCTCTGACTTGTATTTGATAACAGTCAGAAGCTGAAGCCAAATTCCAATTGAGCGATATTCATTCATTTAGTTAAACCTGTACAATGTACTGTTTTTCAATTGTCTACTAAAAACATTGATTCTTTCACTACCCTTATTTCCCTCCTAGCATAAGATGGTGTAAATGTTGTTCAACTCCTGCTGCTCCCTGAAATGTACACACACCTGCACATGCACGCACACACACAAACACACACACAGTACATGCTCATGCTTTTATTTATTTTTGTGATGATGACAGAATCGGAGAAAGGCGGAAAGAAAGAGAGAAAGTGAGCCAGAGAAACAGAGTAATGCAGGCCTCCTCTCTCGGGTATTAGCCTAAGTGAAGCCGAAACTGAAGTAGGAGGAAAAGCAGTGGAAGGTCTGGTTCAGGAAGGGTTTTAGGGGGGCTAATGATGAGGCACATGTAATAACACGGGAGTTGTGAGAGACCGAGGATTCACGTCCAGGTGAGAGGTCAATGGGTCCAAACGCCCTGGCTCTAGACACAGTGGGAGAGCAATAAAGACCCTGATCCCCGAGCCCTCCTGCCTTCAGCTAACGTTTTACATGAAAAGAACAGGCAGACATCAAACAGAGGAAGAGAAGGGGGACTGATAATTGAGCAAGTGGTGCTGTCTTCTGTCTGGACTCTTCCACTGGAGTTTTAGTGATGCTCATTTAATGCCAGACGCCATATAGCAAGGTTTAAAGCTTTATGCTGTTGGAATTAATGGTCTGTGTTATGAAGTTTGAGTTAAGGCTGAGAAGCAGCTTCCATTAACATACTGTGAGTAATCGTAACAATAAATGTTCTGCTGTGTTTAAATGGTTTAATCCAAGTGTGTGTGTGTGTGTGGGGGGGGGTGTATGTCTGAATGTATGTATGTCTCTTTGTAAAGTTACTGCATACCTCAGAGAGAACAACTCTGTCTCTGTTTTTCCCAGAAATCTCCTGTATGATTGTTTGTGGATGATGTAAGCCTCATATTACCAGACTGATTTCCGCTGCGCTAGACTGATGACCGTTGTGCTAGCGAAACATAATGTAATCTCGCGAGACTTCTGAATGGTTGTACAATGTTAATAAAAATTGCCCAGGGATACAGATTACTTTTTTTCTCTTTCCATTTTGTAGCCTATGTCTATCTCATGTTTATATTCATGTTCTGTTCAATCATGTCAGGATTTGTTTGTTGTTGTTGTAAAGCAGAAGAGCTCACCGAGTTTAGCTTCGAGATTACATCCTCAAGGAGACCTTCAGCAGGTAGAGTGCATGTGTGTGCATATGTGTTACAGGGCGGTACAAGAATTAAAGGGAGTAGATATACACAGTAAACATGTCAGACCTTATGCAGAGTAGTTATTTTCTGGTTTCTCTTTTGAGTAACTATACCATCAGTTCTCCGACACCCTGACCCTGACTCATGCTCTGACTCCTGGTGGAAGGATATTTATTATTCACTGTGGCCCTGAGGGAGGGAGAGCGAAGGAGATGGATGGATAGATTGAGAGAGCGATAGAGAGACCGAGCGATAGAGAGAGAAAGAAAGGCGGAGATGGAGGAAACATGAGCCACTGTTCTGGCTTATGTACTTTGCTTCAGCCAGTTGAGTCACTTGCTTCATTATACTTTCTGTTCTTTTGGTTCTTTGAATGGTGTTGTGTGGGCTCAGTTGTCGCTAACACTACACAGTACATTAGCAGTATAGCCTGTATGAACTGAGTTCTGTTTTAGAGCATGTAACCCTTTAATATTAGCCATGGATCCCTGTATTGTGTGTAGATCTTGGTGTTGCATAAAGCCCCTGCCTTGTGTTCGGTTCTGTGGCTGTAAGCCCCTCTGATGTAGTCTCTTGGCGGTGAGGTAGTGTGAGAGTGCATTGAGGAGGCAGGCAGGGTGACCTTGGCGCGGTGCAGCTGGCTCATTGGCTGCCGGTGTGGTTATGGTAATCCCCAAGCCCTCCTCCATGGGGCCCTCCTCACCGTCAACCCCACCACACGATGTGGCACCATCCAGGCTCACTTCCTCTCCCAGCCTTCCCCCCTGCGGCCTCAGTGGTAATGATACCAATGATAATGGACGGCTTTAGCGTAGTGCAAGTTGTGCAACCTCATCCAAGGATCCCTGAGTACTCTGTGGGGGAGTTGCCCACCTCATGCATTGTTGTAATGCAGCAACACCCTCCTGGGTGATGCACTCCAGCCATTTTGTGACAGAATTATTTCTGAAGTGTTGTGGTTGTCCCATAGAATTACTATACAGTGCATTCGGAAAGTATTCAGACCCCTTGGCTTTTTCCACATTTTGTTATGTTACAGCCTTATTCTAAAATTGATTAAATCGTTTTTTCCCCTCATCAATCTACACACATACCCCATAATGACAAAGCAAAAACTGTTTTTTAGAAATTTTAGCAAATTAATAAAAAAATAAAAACAACACATTTACATAAGTATTCAGACCCTTTACTCTGTACTTTGTTGGCAGCAATTACAGCCTAGAGTCTTCTTGGGTATGACGCTACAAGCTTGGCACACCTGAGTTTCTCCCATTCTTCTCTGCAGATCCTCTCAAGCTCTGTCCGGTTGGATGGGGAGCGTCGCTGCACAGCTATTTTCGGTCTCTCCAGAGATGTTCGATCGGGTTCAAATCCGGGCTCTGGCTGGGCCACTCAAGGACATTGAGACCTGTCCCGAAGCCACTCCTGCGTTGTCTTGGCTCTGTGATTAGGGTCGTTCTCCTGTTGGAAGGTGAAACTTCACCCCAGTCTGAGGTCCTGAGCGCTCTGGGAAGGGGTCTGAATACTTTCCGAATGCACTGTATATTCTATTTCTGTGGGTTGTCCAGTCTAGTCCAGTTGCATTCTGTTTGCTTTCCTTGGACTCTATAACCTTGAGCAGAGCACAGGTGTCACGAATTCAGCTGAGGCTGCCCCTCCTTCTTGCTCGGGCAGGCTTCGGCGTTCGTCGTCACCGGAGTACTAGCTACTACCAGTCCATGTTTCTATGTTCTACTTGTTTTGTCTTTATTGGTCACACCTGTTTCCCATCATGTAATTATGTCTTCCCTATTTAACCCTCTGTCTCACATTGTGTGTTGTGCGTGTTTGTTCATGTTTTGGTTGTCGTTAGTGTGCGGGTTTGTTCCTCCCTGCGTGGAGGTTTTGTTCATTCATTTACCTACGAGTAAAGTACGCTTTTTCGATTAGTTCTGTGTCCTGCGCCTGACTTCGTCCACCGCATTACACTGACGCCTTGACAACAGGACTGTATTTCATTTATGTTTTGTTTTTTAAACAGTGAATCATTTTCTCCCAAGTTTATCTGTTGTGTTTGTTTGCTGAAAAGCAGTCGTGACTGAGGACGAGATTGGTCGTGACCAGAATCTATTCGGACACATACCCACACACACAGAAAAAGACACAAACAGCACACACACACACCATAGTATACACCACACTTACACTGTCATTCGCGCTAAACACACACACGCACGTACACCCAGGCGTCAGATGTGATTATATCTGGCCTCTGATGCCTGGTGCTGTGTTGAATGGTCTCTCCTCTCAGCAGCTCTGAGGATGTGACTGCTGGAGACTAGATTTTTCTCGATGGCCCCTGTGCTCCCGGGAAAACATACATATTATCAAAATGTTCCCTGCCTGGCAAATTTGGACTGAGCAGAATGCTGCCTGTGATAGAATAAACCGAATCAATCTCAGAGGAGACAAAGGGCAAAGTGTCTTTGGACTGGGCGTTTTAGCACATTGCAAAATGTATGAATTTTATCTCTGCCTGTGTGATTAAGCACTGCTCTCAGGGCACTCATGATATTGCTGCTTTTGTTTTGACATGGTGTTTAGGGAACCCTTTGATTCGATGGAACTCAGCTGTGTGTTTAGACTGGGCTTTTGTGTTGTGTATTGACCTTAAATGTTGTCTGTCTGGCGTATAGGGACTCTGGTGGTTTGTTTGGACTGGATGTACAGGTGGGAGTGTTGTTTATCTTTGATCTCTATGGGAATTAGTGTTTTTATCCCATTGGTGGCCTTGTATGTGTGAACTGGGGATGATGAGTAAAAGGCCTCAGTCTCCTCTTTCCAGTAAGGTCATTCTAAGGTCTTTATATTTTCCTCTGTACTCCTACTCTACACTAAGCCAGAGAAATGGATAGTGGTGGCAGATTGGATGTGGACTGATTGTAGATTGTGCGGCTCCCCTTGAAGAAAAGCCACAGATAGTAGAATGAGGATATCTCCCTTATGGTTTCATACCGGCAGGGAGAGGAAGCGTTCATCTCTATCCCAGGTGTACCTTCATATTTTAAACAAACTTCCCCAGACTGACAGGATCATTATAGTTCCAATG